TGTTTCAGCAACATTTAATTTAAAAACTGTACTTTTGAGGTTAAACAAATGTTCATAATTAATTTAAATACATTACAAGTTAAAAGGGACATGGATGTTTCTCTATTTTGTATTGAAAAGATATCGAACCAAGAGACTAAAGTATGGAACCGAACCGTGAATCTCCTGTATCGTTGCAGCCTTAATAACTAGGGGTGCATTAAAAACTTGATTTACGTTAGAATGATGATTGTCACTTACAAACACTCAGAGTTGATTTTTCAAAATAAAACAAATCCAAAGTCTGTCTTGTGGAACCTGGGACGTCCTGACGTCGTGAAGCAAAGAGGAAACGACAGAAGTGGAGGAAGGAGATTTAACAGCTCCATGTTTGTTGAAGGAAAACATTTGTGAGTCAGAGTTTGACATGAGCTACACTGTGTGAGCGTTACACAAAGATGAAGCACAACAAACGAGGTGACATGAACAACTTTTAATAAAATAAAAAATGCATTTTAAATGGAAGTGGTTGATGGTAAAAGGTTCCCAGCCTCACTGACCTGACTGGTTCCTGACTGGTTCCTGACTGGTTCCTGTCTGTTTTCTGCTGCTGCAGTCGGCGAGCACCAGCTGACAGGACACAAAGTGGCTGTGAAGATCCTGAACAGACAGAAGATCCGCAGTCTGGATGTGGTGGGGAAGATCAAACGAGAGATTCAGAACCTGAAGCTGTTCAGACATCCTCACATCATCAAGCTGTGAGTGCAGAAACACCAGCGTATTTCAGCCTCTGCTGCAGGACTCACACTCCTGGGACTTGTTTTAATGTGGGGTTTGTGTTACCTGTTCATGATCACATGACAAAAAGACAACAACTAAATGCAGTAAACAGTTCGAGGGATGCACTGCCTCTCCAGTGTCTTCATGTTTTACAGAATCACTCATTTATTCAGATCTGCTTGTTGAAGCAGAGACACATGTAAAACGTGCAGGATAGTGATCCTCACAGAGCAGCACTCAACACTAAATCCCTCTGTCAGCTGACGGTATGTTGAAAGTCTCTTTATACAGTGGGTTACATAAGTATTGAACACGTCACCACTTTTCTCAGTAAATATATTACTAGAGGCGCTAATGACATGAAATTTTCACC